ATTGAGGCCTTTTGATTTTAAATTTAATCTTGTAGCTTAAGGTTAAATTTTGAAGCATAAATTTTAAATTTTGTAATTTGGAAAGAGCTAAGCATATAAAAATACTTGTGCATATATTATATAGTATATATATATATATATATTATATTTATATATATTAATATATATATATATATATTGTATACTATATATATATATTATTATATATATATATATATATATATATATATATATAATTATATTTATATATATATATATATATATTGTGTTGTGTGTATGTATGTGTGTGTGTGGCGCGCCGCGTGTGTCCTATAGAAAGTTATTATTATTTTTCAATGGTATTTTAGAGGAAAAATGTCATCGCTATCGGCGACAAAACGATGGTATTTGACGGAAACATTCAGGGCAGCTTGTCCAGTAAGATTACGCGCATGAAATTTTTTGAGTGGATATACTCATGCGGGTTAGCGCAGTCTTTTCTGAGTGACAAATTAATTCCCGAAAAGAACCCTACACAGGAAGTATTAGCCCGGCGGCCGACCAGATTTTTTGTTGGCCTACTTTAACTCGTCGAAGGAGTTTGAAAAACTTGCACCTGGAAAATTTCTGGGAGATTAGGCTTCGGCTTCATAGGATTCGGCAAAATATGCCTATTTCGTATCTGTCATTGTTCGGGATTTGGTCTTTACATTATTTTAAAACATTTCTCTCATTCTTCTTCTCATTCATCGATTTCTATGCATGTATGGTTTGCTTGCTTCTTATGCCATTTTTTCACAAATATCTCAATTTGATTTCTTAAACACAATCACACAAACATAAAATATTAATATTTAATTTACTCATGATTTACTCTCGAAGGTTCATAGTAAGTGCACTGGTTTACAAAAGTAACAAATATTTATACACTTAGGAACATATATAAATGCATAAGAAAAGTTTAGTGTCAGGGTTTACCTAAATCGAATAGATGAAGAAGAGGATGATGTAAAAAGGAGAATGATGAAATATTGCTGCTTTATCCCCTTTTTCCCTTGATCAACCTCATCCCCAAATTAGCTCGCTAAGTAGTTAAAGCCATTTTGTCTATAAAACCACTGAATTTCAAAGCCACAGCGGATGGCCACTCCTCTCTTCTCGGCAGATGGCATTGCATAGGAGGCTATCATCGGTCATCGCCTTCTCTCCCCATGTGATCAGTTCGAGTTGGCTATCATCGGTCCCCCCTTTCTCACTCTCACAACTTGTCTCTCTCCCTCTCTTACACTCGATCCGCACTTGGAACTATATTGGGGAAAAGTAGAATTTAGATCCGTTCGAGTTGGTCTAAACAAAGAAAAAATTTGGCTATTGCAAGAGGCTTAATACTTAAAATTTTTATTTTAGTTGTGCAATTTCTTTATGTATTTATCATAAACCTCACCTTGTAGTGGCTTTGGAGCTTCTCTTTAAAATCCAGAACTCCTATACTAAGTTATTAAGAAAATACCTAAGCCACCCAAAATATATACAGATTCAGCCAATAGACTTTCCTTTCACTCTCCAAACCAAAACCTCAATATAACTACCTTAAAACTCTAGATACTTGTTTCTAATATCATTAGCTTTCAAAAGAATACTAACAACTACGGCTCGATATATAAATTAGCTCTTAATTTCCCCACAAAGTCTATCACCTCAAAAGCATCCAACAATCCCTTGGTAGATCTTTGCTACCTTTAGACCTCCACTTTTCAAACGCCTTTAAAATCTCAAATCTCTTTCATTAGATTCTCCTACATACGCTTACATCAAATAAAATAATCTACATCAAAATCCAGCATATACATTACATCATTCGTGATCCACAATTCATGTATTTATATTGTATTAGTATGTTCCCCAATTATGAAGGAGTGGATCATTTGTAATCTATGACATATATTAGTGTAATCATTTCAAATAGACGAGGTTCCATAGTTTTTCCCTTTCCAAACTTTTCATGTAATAAGTTTTGTTTCTCTTATAACATTTTCGTATTGATACATGCGCTAAATATTCGTTCAAAACAAATAAATTAAACTATTTTTCTTC